CCATATTTTGTGAACGGAGCGATTGACGTCTTTGGAGGTCTCAAAGGGCTTTCCCCCGTACATTGTAGGAAGCCCTTTGAGACTTCCGAAGGGAAAAAGGCAGGGAGAAATGGTGGGAAATTCAAATTTCCAGCCCCTTCTCCCTGCCTATTTGCCTTTGAAGGTCTCAAAGGGCTTCCTACGATGTCGGGGGGAAGGCCCTTTGAGACCTACGAAGGCAAAAAGGCAGGGAGAAAGGGCTGAAAATTTGAATTTCCCGCCCTTTCTCCCGGCCTTTTTGCTTTCGGAGGTCTCAAAGGGCTTCCTCCGATGTTGGGGGGAAATCCCTTTGAGACCTCTGAAGGTAATTTTATAAAATGCTGTAATGGATTAATTCCATTCCCATGCATTTCAATGGAAAATGGTACTTCGACTTACGAACTTTTTGACGTACGAACGCCGTTCTGAAACAGATTACGTTCATAAGACGAGGTACCACTGTACTTCTATATTTTGGTGTTCCAGGTCAAAGCTCTGGTTGCTTCATTCTCATTACAATTTTGCTACAGAGTTAAACAGATAGTTGGCTCAGACTGGGACTGAATATCCAACTTCATTCATTTAGTCGTTCAGTTGTGTCCGACTCTTCGTGACCCCATGGACCAGAGCACACCAGGCCCTCCTGAATATCCAACTTAGTCTCCTTCATATTGGCAGTTGTTTTTACAGGGAACAGCATATTTACAGTATTCAACAAGTGGAAAAAATTAGACATTGTCTTTGGAAGCTCATATGTGGGTAACAATCGAAGCAAATACAAGTTGGGAGAGCAGTTTAATTATTGGGTGGCTTCCTCTGTTGATGTCCTCCTAATTGGTTTTGGTGCCCTGAAAAACTGGAATTAAGCATAAATTATTCTTTACTCTGGATGGAATGCCGTAATATTTGTATCCCACTTTTCTAAGTAAATGCCATGACTGCTTATATACCTGTCTGAAATAAAGATTGCTTTTTGTAGGGGAAACAGTTCAAAATACAACAAACCAAATGAAACAGCAACGGAAACAGCAAAAGCAGTTAAAACAACCACCACCCAGATCAATTAAAATAGGAGGGGGGATGTTCTTGACCAATGAACCCTCCGGGATAATCTGCAAAGTAAACCAATAACAAAAAGCTTCCAACAGGTTTCTGCAACCAGAGTTTCCAGACATCCACTTCTGTTTTTTTAAAATTCCTCCAATGCATTTCATTTAAGCAAGGATGTACTTATTACTTTAGAGGAAATCACACTTCTTGTAAACGTCTTGAAGTAGATTTTCCCCTTGTTTGAACAGAAAGAGGGAAAAAGCAATCACAAAAATTGACATAGGGTTCTTTGAGAATCCTTTTAAGGTTCTATCTAGAGATGGGGTGTTCCTATATGAATAACCCTGTGCAGCTGGACTTAATGAGGGTCCAGAACCTGGGGCTAGACCGTCCACACACGCGTCCTGCTGTGGTGCTGGACCCATTCATCCTTCTAATCACACCTAGAGTGCCACTCTCTTCCCACTTGGCTGGCAACTCAGTCATGCAGGGAGACTCATCCTCCCTCCCCCTGCCTGGAGTGACCAGCTGAGTGGGAAGAGACCATCTCTAGTGCTACCTTGTCCCCCATGTTCTTTACTTATTATTCTTTATTGTTATTTCAACCATCATGATCATATGAACTGCAAAAGCAAACATACAGAGACTTTTAAAAAAAGATAAAAATAGTAAAAGGATGTCTGAGGGGAAAAGCTTACACTTCAGTTAGCATATGCACCAAAATATTTTACATACAAAATAATATTAAGCGGAAGGGACAAAAATGAGTAACATGATAAAAGAGACAGAAGCTGACAGCAATGCACACATGGTTTTAAGACACTGCACATGTATACAATATATCCAAACCATCACATCATTGTTGTTGTTTAGTCGTTAAGTCATGCCCCACTCTTCATGACCCCATGGACCAGAGCACGTCAGGCCCTCCTGTCTTCCACTGCCTCCCGGAGTTGGGTCCGATTCATGTTGGTAACTTCGATGACACTGTCCAACCATCTCGTCCTCTGTCAGCCCCTACTCCTCTTGCCTTCACACTTTCCCAACATCAGAGTCTTTTCCAGGGAGTCTTTTCTTCTCATGAGATTGCAAAAGTATTGCAACCTCAGCTTCAGGATCTGTCCTTCCAGTGAGCACTCAGGGCTGATTTCCTTCAAAATGGATAGGTTTGTTTTCCTTGCAGTCCAGGGACTTTTGCTGACTGTATAGAGCTCCAAGGCCAAACTTACCTGTTGTACCTTTTATCTCTTAACTCCCTACTTTAGCATTCCAATTCCCTATAATGAGAAGAACATCTTTCTTTGGTGTCAGTTCTAGAAGGTGTTGTAAGTCTTCATAGAATTGGTCAACTTCAGCCTCTTCAGCATTGGTGATTGGTGCATACATTTGGATGACTGTGATGTTGAAAGGTCTGCCTTTGATTCATATTGAAATCATTCTATCATTTTTGAGATTATATTCCAGTACAGCTTTTCCCACTCTTCTGTTGACTATGAGGGCTACTCCATTTATTTTACAGGATTCATTCCCACAATAGTAGATACCTGTATGATAATTGTCGGAATTGAATTCTCCCATTCCCGTCCATTTTAGCTCACTGATGCCCAGGATGTCAATGTTTATTCTTGCCATCTCCTGTTTGACCGCATCCAGTTTACCAAGGTTCATAGATCTTACATTCCAGGTTCCTAGTATATAGTATTTTTCTTTGCAGCATCAGACTTTCCTTTCACTTCCAGGCACGTCCACAGCCCAGCATCCTTTCCGCCTTGGCCCAACCACTTCATTAGCTCTGGAGCTACTTGTCCTTGTCCTCCACTCTTCCTCAGTAGCATGTTGGATGCCTTCCTACTTGAGGGGCTCATCTTCCAGCATCATATCTTTTATCCTTTTGTTTCTGTCCATAGAGTTTTCTTGGCAAAGATACTGGAGTGGCTTGCCAGTTCCTGACTCTAGGTGCATCGCATTTAGTCAGAACTCTCCACTGTGACCTGTCCGTCTTGGGTGTCCCTGCATGGCATAGCCCATAGCTTCTCTGAATTACTCAAGCCCCTTCGTCACGACAAGGCAGCAATCCGTGAAGGTGGCTTACGAATTACACCTCATCTAAACAAGAAAAATAAATGAAAATAAATGAAATGGTTAGAGTAGTGTTTGTTTTTGTTTGACCAGCACTATTGCCTCTTACAAAAAGGTAACGCTGATGATGAACTCTAGAAATCTGCAGGTTCCGTAGAACACAATTTAAAACTCAGCCCAGCTGACTTGACTTTGTTTTGCTATTAACACAGTCTTTGATGCTAATCTGCTGTTTCCTCACCCAAGAACAAGCTTCTAAAACAGTTCTAAAAGCACATTTCTTTTTGTTAATAGTTATGCCTTGGGGGAAAAAAAGGGGGGGAAACAAAATCATGCACTTACTTTTAATTATCTTTTCTTTGCAATTTCCAGCAGCATTGAGTAGCCACTTTTTAAGACATACATAACTAATGTTGTTTTTAAACTAGGTGTACTTGCCAAAGTTAAAAATCTTTTTGCATTCAAAAAAAGTTTAGAGTTGGTGAGATTGTAATTTTTATTTTTCTTTATGATATAGAAATGATCACAAGAAATCCTCTTAGGTAACTAGAAAACTTTTATTTTATCAGAAGGGGTACTCTTGCATCAGTCTTTTCATATTTCTGTTTCTTTTACATTTATGAATTTGTACATGTAACACAGTTGTTTGGAGAGGGAGAACGCAAGATTAATAAACATCTTTTAAACAGTTTACTACTGGAGAGGCCTTCAGAGCTTCTTACTAGCTTTCTACTGACTTTATTCTAGAATGGAATCTGTTACATAATGGGCTTGATGGGGCTCACTCTACTTAATGCTTAATTAAATTTCAAAGGTTTATGTAGTAGATATTACCTACATTTAAAACAATGCATTTTTTCATTTGACTTATTTTGATTACTGTATCTATCTTCTGCATCAGTGTTCATAATGATATGCTTACTTATCAACGAAGAGCCTGCTTTATAGAGAGACGTTAATTTGTCTGGTTCAACAGGCATATCTAAGTTCCTTTCCTATGAAAAGCAAACACAAGTATTTGGAAGCAGTGAAATCACCTAATTGTGGAAAAAAACAGATATGGTGTGATTTCACTTTTCATCCTACATTAGGGATATAACTGCAGTAAAACCAAAACATGTTACCTATTTATAAAAGTAAAGTCAGAGTTCTAGTCAGTACATATTGCCCGCAATCTAAAGGTGTATTTTTTTTAATTAGAAAGACTTCTCTTGTGAAAGATTGGCTGATTTCTGCTGGCCTCTCCTTCCTGCTACATCCCCCAGGTCTTATCACTTCATTCCGTATAGTAACACAACTCTGTAATGTGACTTTTGTGGGCCATGGAGGATACAGAGTCCTTGAGGGGCTAGGAAATTCCCACTGTAGGTATGCTTAATTGTTTACCTCTGAATGCCGACTATTGTCATTGGGATTCTGGAACCCTGAAGTTTAATCTTTAGTTCCAAAAGTTGGGTTTCGCTACTTAAGTAAGACATGTGTCAATCAGATCTCAGTGCTGAGACACCAAATGATGACATTTCTTAATTCCTCAATGGGTTTGTCAAAGTTTTTCTGGGGTGAGTAGGTACAATGCAGGTAATTTATCTAAAAACTATATAAAATAAAAATGGGACTGCTCTGAACTGAAGTGCATACCTGCCTTGGAAGGCCTGTCCCCCAGTTCCAAAATGGTAACTGCAAAATACTCTGTTGAATAGGGAGTCTTTAATATGGTTTGTTTACAGTATGAAGTGAATGGTTTTTCACTTCAGCCAATCACAGCACTTGTGGAGTGTAGAACATGATGACAGCAGCACATCTATAGAATCTGATGACATCAAGGAGGCAGTTTGGAAAGAAATAGGAATTGTTGTTGTTGTTGTTTTTTAAAGATAGCTCTGATTTGGGCTTTGTATCTAGCAGCAAGAAACTACTGTTCTGGTTTTTCTAATGACAAGAAATCTACTTGGTCCAAACCTTTCAAGCGGTAAGCTTTATCATAAAGAACATAAATTATGAGTATGTGGGGAGGGCACTATGTCGTTCCCCCTTTTTGAAATGTATAGTCACTTAAATATGTTGAAGTATGTGCCTGTGCTCCCTCCCCCACCCATTCTCTGTAGAAAATCCAGTTTTCCTGTTCCTTCTCAGAAAGTTCAGACCCATGAGATCACAGCTCCCTTAACTTTGAGCAGACTCTGAAAGAGAAGCGAGCTGAAAGAGATGAGGAGAGCTGTTGGAAAGTCTGCTGGTTGTGGTTCATGAATGTTTTTCAAAAGTGGACAAAGCCACACAAACAAATAAGACTGATGAGAAATAGAATTTGACACCATCCATTCTTCTTCATATCATTAATTTAATTGAAATTCATGCTTTAATTTTCAATTTTAGCTATAATTAATATTGTTATCAATTCTTTTCCTGTCCACTTCCACTGTTCCTTTTCAAATATTGATAACAGTGCTATTCGCAGGGAAAAACTCTACATTTAACTTAAGTATTCCATTAATTTCTTCAAAACCGAGCTCCCCAAATTTAATTATGTTTTTACATTCCCACCACATATGAAAATAAGTACTTACGCATCACATCTCCAACATAAATTTGAAAAATTTGCCATCCATACAATTGAATTTTACCAGTATTAAGTACTATTTCCATCCAGTCACATATTTTATATAATAAAAAGAGTCAACCCATGCTGCAAATGTGGTCATAGGAATCTATGCTTAGTTACAAAAAAGGCAATGGTATTAACATCAATCCAGTGCTTCTGCTTACTTCTTTACCTATTTTTAGATCGGGTTGCCTTTGTCATTAACAGGTTCTGTTGAGCCAATAACACCAATTATCAATTTCTCCATATAAACACTGGAGTTGCCATTATGGTGTAGTGGACAGAGTAACAGCCTGGACTCAGGAGGCCTGTATTCAAATCCCAATTCAGCCATTGAAACTCACAGGGGGTATGGAAGTGGTAAAGCCACTCGTAAAATACCTCACTTATCTTGAAAGCCCTTTTAAGGGTTGCTATAAGTCAGTTCCATCTTGAAGCTACATAACAACTGACAACAGCTGCTAGAGGTTATTTAATTCATACAAGTAATTATATAGCATTCACAAACTTCTATTCTAGTTTCTATTGACAGGATTATTGTCACCAGACTAAACCACAACCACACGCACACCCTTATTGTCAAAGGTTACCTTTCACCAATGAGCTAACAAGCATTAGTGTAAATTAAGCAGCTGAAATGCTAGATAAATAGAACTGTCATATATATAATTGTTAGACACATTTTTGGCTGCTTACACTAGAATATTATTGCAGTTTTCAGACAGAAAACAATGAATCACCATTTGTTTCCAATGTGCTTTTCCTAAATTTGAAAGAAAAGGTTGTTGTGGCTGGAATCAGACAAACGTTAAATAGATATTTTATTAAACACTGGCTTTATGCAGTAAAATACTGTCAGTGCCTGAATGTAAAAATAGTGGACAAGGATATACCTTTTTAGGAATATTTGATAGACAATTTACAGATATATTTACAGCTTTCCAGACCAGTCAAACCAATGTCACTTCTGCTTTTAGGTATAATATTAAATTTGGACATTCCCATTGCATTCTTGTGAAATGCATCCACAGAATATAACTGTATCTGGAAGCAGTCCATGGCATTTTCTTGCCTGAAGTGAAGAACAAGATGGCAGTCTTCTCCATTCCGTGTACTAAAGCCAATTGGTTGAATCTTAGGGTGACTGCATCTGAGGATATTAAATTGGTTTAGGGGTTGCAGGCCAAATTCTGTGGTATTCACAGCTCTCCTTGAAGAAAGTGGAACAGGCAGGATGCTCAGCTGGGCAGCTATCCCTCAGCATGTCCCGTTTCAGAAGGTTGTATCATTCTGTTTAATATACAAGACAGCAATGGATTGACCACAAGGGCCCCAAATCATCTTAAATTTGATTTGATGTACAACTATTAGTATAAGCTGAGTTAGAGTGTTGTTCAAGCTCCATTGAATTCCCTGTGTTTCTAGGCCAGGGACATTCATTCTTGTTACAGTGGCCCACATTCCTGTATTTTTTATATGGAGGAGGAAGAGACAAGAACTAAAAGTATGATAGTAGGATTTTTTTTGGGGGGGGGAGGAAGGATGTGAAGATGAAAAGGAGCCAAATAAAGGTCAGGCAGTTTTGGACTAGACCTTCCCCTTGCTCGTTTCAGAAATTTGTTATGTTCTTATGAAGAGCAATGACCCTTGAAGGAATCTCTTTGATGGATTGTACAACTTTAAGTGCATGGTGCAGGTGCACATTTTTCATAGATCATACTGACAGAATTACCAGCTCAAGATCAGTATGGTTTGCATGGCTTTTTCATAACCTCCTTTGCACTTGTTAATAGACATTCTGCTGGCTGTCAGGAAGGGATAATGAAAATCAAGCCAAGCAAAGACCTACAACCTCAATCCATCAGGGGTAGTTATCTGCTGCAAGAATTGTCTGCAAGGCTTAGCTGTAGCAAGCCAGTGCCTCATTCCCATTTCCTTCTTTTCCTTTTTTTGAAACAAGAGATGACCAGAGAACAGAATTTTTCACAGATCTGTTGTTCATCTGCCAAAGTCACTTTCTAGAAGGCTTTTTCTCCTCTCCAGATCTTTGGCAATCAACTCGTGATTTATTAACTGAATAGAAATATAATACATTATCTTGGAATTCATAAACATGCAATACTAGTTCAGACATAATAATAGATCACCATTTCCCCTCCCCTCCCTTTCCTGCATGCATTGTGATGTTCATTTTCATATATATTTTCACTTATTTATGTCCCTTTGTATTTTTCTCCATATGGTTCCTAAAATGTTCAGACCTGGATTTCTCCAAATTTAAAGACATACTCTCATACTCTCTAAAACAATCCACCCATTGTATATACAGTACTTTATGTTTCATTGGTGTTTTTTTTTTGATTGATTATATGTTCGTTTTCCATTCAGGTCACATGCAAATTTCCATATAATTCTGAAA